GATACGTAATGACTAAGGGCACCAGGAATGCAGCTGTAATGAAAAATAGGGCACTGTAGAACTACAGTAGATTTGATGTTGTGAGAGGGATTTGGAAAGGTGTCATGGTCCCGGGTTTGACGTTTGGCAATGAGGTCTTCTGCATGAAATCAGAAGTTCAAGCAAGATTCGAAATTAAACAACGTGGCATAGGTAGACTTGCTTTGGGAGCACACGGGAATACCCCAAATCAGGAGGTACAGGGTAACATGGGATGGACATCATTTGAGTGCAGGAAAGCTAGCAGCAAGATAGAATTTGAGGAGCGATTGAGAAAAATGGGAGAGGAGCATTGGGCTAGGAAAACTTTCAACTACTTGTACATGAAGAATGTTGACACTAAACGGAAGAAGTGAACTCGAAAATTGTCAAGCAAGTATTTAGACAATAGCAGAATACCAAGCCAAAAGAAAACATCGGTTAAGAAGAAGGTGAAGGAAACAAAGAGGGACATGTGGAAGATAAGAATGTTTACGAAATCATCCCTGAAGACCTACCGAACTTTTAAGCAGGAAATTGCAAGGGAAAAGATCTCCGATGATTTTTGGGGTAATTCTCTGCTCTTTGTGGCTAAAACGGGAGTATTGCGGACCAAGATGTACCGAGCAAAATACGAAGGCACAGACATAGTATGTAGTGCATTTGGAGGAGAAAGTGGCTGAACAATTGATAATGTTCTGTAAGGGCTCCGCCCTATAGTGGAAGATATTGGTGCCGAATTTTTCAAAGCATTGGGATTTAGTGACAGTGAAGGCAAAATAGACTTTAAACAAGTAGAAATAACCAGGAGGAGGCTAACGGATTGGTGGCTACAATCGAGGCGAGAGAAATTCTTTATGGTCAGGTGGCGTGAGCCACCGCCCCATCTAAAGAGCACAGCCGGATACATCCATCTATCTATCCATCCATCCAACGTTGTTTGCACATTTCAGATAGTTTTGTCAGGCCCGTTCCTCCTTGTTCTTTTTTTTTTTTTATTGCGGTGTCAGTCTGACACCAACACTTCTGTATGCACTGACATGGCGCAAAAACAAAGCCACTGCTTCCCCCTGGGGTGCATTACAGGCTACAAGTCAGCTAAAGAAGCATGCGTTGTTCGGCGCTCCAAAGAACGAAGCTTTGTTTGCCCAGTGGCGGAGAGCAATCCCACGAGCTGACAAGCTGCTTCAAAAAAACTCGGCTGTGTGCGAGCTGCACTTCGACGAGAGGTACATCTCCCGGCACTTCGAGCACACTGTGAACGGCGAAATTGTCCGCATTGAAAGAAGTAGGCCTATAGGCATGCTTGCCCTTGGAGGGGGCAGTTCATTGCAGGGCGCCTCCTCCCTATTAAATCAGTGTATAAGGCAGATTTTGCGCCCCCCTTTTAGATGACTAAAAAAGTGCCTCGCCGCCTAGTCAATGTATAGAGCAGATTTAGCGCTCTCCTTCCAGACGACTAGGTGGGGCACCCGCCCCATTTGTCCCCCTCGTGCGGACCCCTATGGGTAGGCCTTTCGGAGAACCTCTTCGCATTTCTAGACAACCTCGAAGTCGCTTTTTCGAAGTGGTTCAGCTACAACAAGCTTCACAGTGACAGCTTGAAAGAGCTTGTTTCCTGCTTCAAAAAAAAAAAAAAAAAATGTCACACTGGGCTGCGCCCAACATGGTCTGAGCCTCACCAATCAAGTGACCAAGTTTTTTCTGCTCATCCATTTGCGTTTTTACACAAAGGCACTCCACAAGGAGCGAGTATCTTCCCATGAAAAGAGGAAGTACCTGAAGCTCAGGCGCATCACTCAGGCTTGCAGCCCAATGTTCTGTGGGGCGCTTGTGAAATATTAAACTTTTTTTTCTTGGGAATAAAAAAAGACGTGCGACCAATTATGAAGGATTCATTGTTGTAAACAGATAATGAAATGCATTGTATGACCTGTGTTCAGAAAAGAAAAGGTTTTCATGCATATGCCGCTCGTTATTCTCGTCTCAGAGTTTGACGTTACTAATGATGGGGCTTTATTTACAAATTAGTGCTTGAGGAAATGATGGTTCACTGTGGAAGGTGTTGCAAGCAATGGCCCGAATTGAGTTCCTCGTTCCACTCTTCTACCATTTCACATCGATAAAATGTTTCAGTGCCGTCACACGCTCACTTTCGGGCTCGGCACCCTGTCGATATTTTAGTTCAGTCACGCACCCGCGTAGACATCCTGTAATTCCAGAAGCTAACATATTTTGTCGGTTGCCATTTGAAACCGTATACGAGCAACAAAATATATTTTAAACATTTCACATTGCCCACGCGCATGGTTGATTCCCGTCTCTGCGCAGCGCATCGCCGCTTTGGGTGACGAACAAACGTGTGCCAGTGCCACTTGGCGGTTTCCTCCCAAAATGTTACGCGCTAGCCGGTGCATTCATCACACTTTCCTATTGTTGCCACTGTAACCGCGGCGCTGCTTCTCGATCATCTGACCCGCTGAGCGCTTCCTCAATCCTCTCTGCTGGCTGTGTGAAAAGGACGGCTCTCTCGGCCGCGCGTGGCGTGGCTGTAAGGTCGGCGCGGTAGTTTTGAAAGATCCACGCCAAACGAGCGTCAAGCTCTGCAGAAAACGATATACTCAACACACTACGGTCGGTTTTTTATAGACTATTTGATAGGCTAATTTAGTTCATTATAACTATCTACCGGTCAATCGTTCCATTACTCCATAACTTAGCCATCGCTCCTCAAGATGGTCTAAAAAAAAAAGATTTGTCTTTAGAAGGAAGGAGCAATGTAAAGACCTAATGAGGTTTAAAAAACACTGCGGACATTGGTCACTACCTGTTGACCATGTTTCTCTCCACTGATGACACCAGAACAGGCAGAGTATACCCACATTGTGAAATACCCCGCCTGTAGCAAATGATGCCCAGAGTGAAAAATTTTTCGGGTTATTTCAGCCTCACAAAGGCTATCAAACAACAATAAGTAGAACATAAAGCCTACCAGCACACAACAAATAGAAGCTGAAGCTTACTTGTACACAATAAAAACTTCAGGAAAAGTTTTAACAGACAGGTGTTGAAATCAAGGGTATGTAGTTGGGCGTGTTGGTAATTCGTAATATCGCAGCGTGTAAAAACTGAGACACAGGACAAGCGACTCCTTTTGCCGCTTCCCTTGTCCTGTGTCTCAGTTTTTACGTGCTACGATATTACTAGTGTTGAAATCGGTTATGCAGTAAGGCAGGCTAAAAATAAGACCACAGGTTAAAAGCGCTTAGACAATATTTTAAAAACAATTTTACAGTTGCTAGTATTGCACCTCATATTGAAATAAATTAACTAATAAAGATTTTAATTTGCTACTTATAAAAAATTACTAGGCCCCCAAGGAGAGAACATTCAGCTCTTATTTCCAAAACTATGTTTAATAAAAGAAGGAATGCACGATTCTATAGACAACAAATTGAGATCTACACTAGCGGCAAAACTGCCCTACACTAGGTGAAAAATCCGAGTCAATCTTGACTGGCTTACCTGTCAGAAAGAAAGGTTGTTGATCTGACTATGAAATAGTAGTAATTGCTCGGGTTTTATGTATGAAAACCACAATATGATTATGAGGCACGCCATAGCAGAGGACTCAAGATTAATTTCAACCATCTGAGATTCCTTAACGTGCACATTATTCTAAGTACATAAGTGTTCTTGCATTTTACTACCACCGAAATAGGGCCACAGTGGTCAACGCGACAACGAAGAGTGCACATTTTCCAAGATATATGTCCACAGACTCCGCACTACTCCTATATTGAATTAATTGGGCTATCATTTCATTTAGTCCCTGCAACACTTTTTGAGCATGGTCAGAAAACGCTGCCGATCAGTAGTAGAAGCTCCTGACAACACGGGAGCCAAATATTATAGCGCAGCACGTGGCCTGAAATTCACAAGAAATTAAAAAAGTCAACCAAAAAGTAGCTTTCTCTGCTTTCGACAAATTGCAAAATTAAGCCCAGTGCGCCAATCTATCAGCCATTCGCTGATTTGAACATGGCGCGCTCGAGTGTTACAGAGGTCGCCGCGACAGGCCATCACTTGTCCACGCTTGCACGCACGATCGCACTGAAAAAGCCACGTATTCGAAGAAAAAAAAATGCTCAAGGTCACGAGGCATGAGTGACGTTTTTTGTTTGCCCCTCCCATCCTTCCCTGCTCACCTTCCAGCACTTTTGTCGGGACGAGAGAAGAGAGAATGGGATTGCAGCATGTGGCAAATATTTGTAACTCCGCTCGTACTGGATGAATTTTTAAAATTTTTGTGGCATTCAATTTGTAAGGTAATACACTTTTCCAGAAAATGAATTCCATGGTTACTCAAAAAAGTGTTTCAGAATCCCTTTAATGGACAATCTATGTAAGACTACTCTGATAAGGCATTAGGGCACCACAATGGAGGTCTTAACACAGATGCATCAAGCATAACATCATAGTGTAAACTATTTGAGTTCATTTGTATGCATGAAAATGTAAAATGGTGAACATTGCACCAATGTGCATGTGCTAACTACAATGGAGGTCTTAACACAGATGCATCAAGCATAACATCATAGTGTAAACTATTTGACTTCATTTGTATGCATGAAAATGTAAAATGGTGAACATTGCCCCAATGTGCATGTGCTAACTACAAACTAACTCTTTGCATTTAGGTCTGGAAGTGGGAGCCACTAAAGCTTCCTCCAGAACATCAGAAATGCTACTATGGGCACTGAGTGTGGTTTCCTGTGCTTAAAGCACAATTTCAAGGTCTAAAACTCGGCATAGCAAATATGACATGCTGGGCATTGCGATGTTACATGTATAGAAAGATGCCGAAAATAGTTTGCTCATTGTTCACACTTGCATAACAGCAAACAAGGTGCACAGCATGACACTTGGCAATAAAGAGCAAAGGTGCGAAACAAAAACCATGGCTCAAACACCCTGCCTACCTTGTTTGAGCTGAAAATTCCAAACAGGCCTGACCGCTTCTTCTTGCCAGTGGAGATGGTGCCTCGGACTGTGTCTCCCGGACCTCTAAATGAGGAGTTCACTGTGCTGCCAGTCGTGCTGCTTGAGTCACAGTTGCGCGTCACACTCAAGTCCTCAAAGGGAAAGTCATCAGCGGGCACAAAGCCAGACTTGTACTTTTCCACCACCGTTTCAGCATCCTGTACAGTTTCCAGTGCGATGTTGGGGGAAGGTGGTGGAAGGAGGGCATGCTTGAGCATACACATTGCCTAAGCACACTGTTCAAAGGCTGGAGCAGTTAAGGCAAAAGAGTTGAAAAGGCAACCACACAGCAGCAAAGCTGTTTTGATGCTGCAGACTCGTCTCAAGAATGCAACAAAATTGACAACCGAAAATTGATGACTGGAAAGTGCAAGAGACTTTTTATCAGATTGGCAAATAAACACGGGCAAAGGCACAAAGCAAGCTTTCATTTATGTAGCCTTTAGAGACACCTGTATGGTACATGCACGAACTTCTCATCATTCCGTTCTCTCCCAGTAACAAGAATTTGACAACACACAGGCCTTAAAGCTCTGTTTTATTTGGTTCTAGAGAAAAGTTGTGTGTGCACGATATAGGAGATGCATGCACATAGTTATGTGTCCATGGCTTGACACTCAATGAAGACTTGGTTAATTTTGTACATTAAATCATTCAATTGGTCTGAGTAGGTAATATAAGTGCCCTTCCTGGCCTCATCTAATGTATGTTCAGTCTAATGAGCACAGGAATTCAAAATTTATTAGAAGTGTGAGGCCATTGGAAAACACAAGTGTAGAAAAAGTGTGGCGGACAATGTCAACTGGTCGGCTACTGTTGCCCGCCATTGTCATTCTTGTCTGCTGGAGTTAGGGGATTATTTCGCAGAGTGTTTGCTCTTCACAACCGGAGCCTGGTGCTCCATTCATGAGGCAACCACTATGCTGCTGGCAAAGGATATATACGGCATATATTTTCCTAAAAAGCACACAGAATGACAAATTACTATTAAAAAAATAACTTACTTTTTTTGGGTCTATAGAGTCAGCTGCAACTACGATTTCATCGAGACATTTGAGAATGATAGGAATGACTTCTCGGTGGATCTCTGCGGCCTTTTTTATGTAGTTCTGTAGAGATGCTGTCCTGCGTTCATCTAAGCTCTGAAGTTGCTGCAAAGTGCAAGCGACAAAGCGAAGTCAACAGGCGGCACCTTTTAAGAGACAAAAGCTTTTTCTGCTCCTTGCACTAGACATACAGACAGTTTTGAGGACCCCTAGACAACTTTCAGCGAGAAAGTTTGTTAAGTATTGGCAGCTGCGTAGTCTATTGTGTAGCATAAGCACTTGATTAACAACTATGCAGCCATCATAGTTTCTCACTCTCATTCATTTAAGACCCTTCATTCATAGCTTCATAGCCATGCTTGGCAAACTATGAGTATGCATATGAATATACAATATCAAGTATGCATGAACAAAGTAGCAACAATGTGTGCTTTAGTTACTGATAAGGGTGTCATGATGGCAAAAAAAAAAAAAAAGATCAGAAGCAGTATTTGATGCAACAAAGTCGATGTTATCTCGCTTAAAACATGAGGTGAACAATACATGCCTACTTAGACCACGATGAAAAAGATTTTAGATACTACATATATCTTCATAACAAAAGCTTACTTATTAGATTGGATTTCATTAAATTGTTTGGTCCTCCAAAACACAAATAACTGTGTCATGGCCCGCTCCCACGTGGGGACCGAGAGGCCGAGCCCCTCTACTGCCTCGTGAGAGTTGTGCCAAGGACAGGCTGTGGAGTGTCGCCTTCCATCTAGCAGAGGTGGTGTTAGGTAAAACAGCGAATTTTGTACACTACCAGAGCATATGGTCTAGTGAATTAGGAGTAGGCACATATTACTTCTAGTCACGCAAAAAGAAAAAAGGAAGAATAAAACTTACCTCAAACACTTTTGGCATGAGTTCGCTATAATGCTTTTGTTGGAGCAGGTTTGTCTTCTGTAGCTGATTTGCATAATCTGTTTTTGAGTCCTCACAAGCTTTATTTTTAGCCAGCGAGTTTTGTTTTGCCTGCAGTTGAAAACATTTGAACATTGGTTTAGGTATAAAGCCATGAAAAGCTGCATGTTTCTAAGCCTTTTAAAAGAAATGATCTAACAAGCATCGCAACATTTTGAAATGGAGATACGCATAAAAGGCAGACAAGGTTGAGCCATTTTTACAATAATAACAAGTGGTCTACTTAACATCACATTTTAATACTTAACAAATTTAGAGAATTAATCTAGCAGATGGTGAGTGCGACTTTTGCAATAGGTGTTTCTGGTAGGACTAGCGACTTCTCAAAGCTTAACTATATTGTATATATAAGTGCATTTCCGATTTATCACTATCATAAATCAGAAAAATTATAGCATATGAAAAACATGATATAAGCATATAAGAACATGTCAATAATAAACTAGCGCAAAAGAGCGTGCAAGCTGTGCATTCTGAGAAAAATAGAATGACACCGTGAAAAAGTCTTGATATTCCACAATAGTGAACGAGTTCATCTCGTAGAAGAAGTGAGGAATATCTACGGCTTCCACATTAAATAGGTATCAGAGAAGAATATGCGCAAGGAAGCCACTGTGCAGCATTGAATTTTTCGTTATTCATTCCTCACACTATAAAAATATGCAGAATATTTCTCTAAAAAATTTACATTTATATTTTGAGTCACCAGAATTGATGTGACCTCTCTGTAAAGTAAGATAGCATGGAGGTTGCTAAAATAGTAAGAGTTAACATATCCACACAGGACTACAGATGTCAGAAAAGCCATGTTTTTTTGACCAAATCAAATATTAAAAAAAAAACACCTAACCTGGAGAAAGTGCCTTCTAATACTGAATCGATAAATGAATATATTTACTTAGAACAAACAGAAATACAGTAACCTCTTACATAAGCAAGACTGATCTATTGCCTTATCTGAAGTTTGTCTCATAGCCTCGATAAAATAGTGCAGGAGTGTTCACAAGACAATGGCGTTCCACTCTGCTAAATACAAAGAATAAAATTTGCACAGATGCGCTTGGTGCAGCACTAGTGCACTGCTATCAGCTGCCACATGACGACAGGTCCTGCAAGTTAAGTTTACGACACCGTTACAACAGACCAATAACACAGCTGCTCACAGGCATCCGCAAGGCCTCTTCTTGCCTTTCTAAAGATGAACCCCTTTACATGCACCAGGGAGCAATTCTGGTCTTTTATCTGCAGTGTCCCTTTAAACCAGGGTACCATGCATACACCTGCTTATCTCCTATTTCAATTTAGACACACTGTTATACCCAGTTGTCTCTTACATCAGTCGCTGTATAAAGGGGTTAGACCGTACACCCAGCATTTGTAAAGCAGCTAACAAGAACAACCCTCTGGTTAACCTCCCAGTCGTCACGAGAACTACAATTTGGGCAAGTTTGTAAAAATGCATTCTTGAGCAGGTAGCACAAAATACAACATCTCATCTCTTTAAACCTTGCTTGTGTCACCATATCTTGCACTACCTGCTCAATAATGCTCCCAGCCCTTTTGTGCTAAATAACTGTCTCCTTATACACTTTTATAGTGTACATATTGTTTTTTCAACTCTTTCAGAGCCTATTCCCTTTCAACAAAGGGTGGCTTACAACAGCCTATTTGTTCTCCAGATGACTGCGTTATCATGACTGTTTGCTGGACTAAGCTTGAGTGAAGCTAACCCACTGAAGAATGAGACCTAGCCCACATGAAAATGGGATATGAATTCCAGATTTTGCAGCCTGGACTTTAGCTGGAAACCGCTATTCACGCGGGCAATTTTCCATTCCCAGCTGGAAATGCCATTTCCAACTGGGAATTAATCGCATGCCAGGCTGGGAATGGCATTTCCAGACTGAAAATAGAAATAATTCTCTATTTTTCCGGAAAGCCATTTCCAGCTTCAAGCTTTCCAGTCCCAGTTTGGAAGTTATGTTTCCAGCTGGAAACGGCTTTCCAGTCGAGAATCACTTCCATTTCCAGCTTGAAGATTTCCAGTCCCAATTTGGAAGTTATATTTGCAGCAGAATATGTTTCCATCTTCAGTTGGGAAATAATTTGCTCGATTAGCATGAAATTTTCCTCTTTGAGAGTGGCTATTTGACAAAAGAAATTCGAGCCAAACAAAGAATTGCTATACATACAAGGGACAGATGAAGTGTTAACCACGTTTACTCGAATGTAACTAGAGTTTTTTTCCAGATTTTTGCTACCTAAAGTCCCACACCTTACAAATTGAATAGCAAAATTCAACTTTTTCTTCTTAGACGCAACGAAAAGTGACCTCTCGGTAATGCAGGCTGTGCATTTGAGGATGACTCAGAATATTGATTACATGCATGCATGGCCGTTGGCAGGGGGTGGAAAAGGGGCACTATCTAATATTTGTAAGCTTTACTAGCATGCTCTCTTCGTTGCCGCAGCCACAAACCACGAAAAACGACACGCTGCCGCGATTTTTGTAGACATCTCAGTAGCACTAGAAGCACTAATGTTGTATTATTACTCGGTGCATTATAAAGCTATTTTTAAATAATAGCCTACTCTTTATTACTCATACTGCATAAAAAAAGTAATATTTTTTTAAAGATAACATTCTCAACGACAGTGGTCCAGGAAAATGAATAACTCCTTATTAGCCACCCCAGCATGACCCCAGTTTTGTAAAACAAATGGCAGCTACTAGCAGAGCAAGTTGCACATGTCCGCGCTCGCTGTACGCTAGTCTAGCGATTTTTTTTAAGGAATACCCGTGTGGTGGTTGTATGAAATAGTTCAGTTTTATCTCTGGAAAGTACTACGAGTGATGACAGTGTGTTTGAGCGGTTTTTAGTGCTGTACTGTGTGCGATGTGTTGGATTCAGTGTCGATCATGGGACATGGATTATGTCAACAGTGATGTGTTAGATAGAGCGCCGATCGTGGGATCGGCGCTCTATCGATCATAATTCTACCATTTGGAGGCAAGTTTTGCACATATATTTTAGGCATGCTTGTCCCCAATGTTTGTACACAATGCTTATAAATGCACGAAATGCATTACAGGTCGGTTTGGGCAAAAAGACTGTCACCATATCCATGTGCCGTTCAATGCTTGTGCCAATGGCGTGTATGCGTCTTTGCATCTAACACCAGTAATTACATATGTGCGCGTGAATTAATATGACGTTCATTCAGAGTAGTTTAAGGTTGATAAAAATAAATGTTGCTTGATTGTTGCTCAAGAACTATTGCAGCTTAAACCGCAATGTCTATCAAATATTTCCTAAAAAGAACTGTTTTAAATAAAAGTGCACTACGTTGACGCGGGCAGGATAGACAGGGACAAGCACTTATCGGACAAGGGTCTATCCTGTCCACGTCTAGGTAGTGCACTCTGTTTTCAAACAATCATGTATCACCAACACGCCCAATCAACCATACTGACTAAAAAGCACCTTTGCTTTACGCACTGCTGTTGTTTTGGGTATATGATAAAGGTGTATTGTACTGCTTTGCAAAGCTATATTAATGCTGTTCATGTACGTTGGTGAGGTTATACTTTTACTAGAATAGCACTTTATATGTCATTGTGGTTTTAATGTGCGCTCACTATGCATGAATATATTTTTCAAGTGGATGGTGCACCAGGATGTAAGCAACTCATTTCACATCTCGAGATATGTTCCAGCACTTGCTACAAACTGTCAAAAAAATGTTTTTAAGTTTCAAAAACATTTTCTTTGTCTGTGTTCAGTGATCTGGATGAACAGGTCCTGATGAACTAGATGCTAATACGTGTGCAATAGCAGTGAGGTGAAAATCTGGACGTTCTTTCAAGGCTTGCAATAAGCCATTTCCTGCTTAAAATGTTTCCACTCTCAGCAGGGAATACTTCCATTCCCTGGTGGATTATGGAACCTGGAAATTTTTCTAGACTGGAAACGTTTTCCATTCCCAGCTAGAATTTCCAGGTTCCATAACCCATCTGGGGATGGGAATAATTTTCACCTGGGAGATAACATTATCTGATGTTCGCACATTATGTTGATCAGTTCAAAGTGTTGGCAAGAAAACATCATCTCTTATCACCTCTATTAGGCATCATTTTGAACAACCCTCATTAGCACCAGTCTCAAGTCTAACCCCCGTATTCAGAAACACTGTTTCACTTGAACTTGACTTGCCACTGCCTTCCATGCAGCCCCTTTGAAACGCATTTGTACTGCCTTGGCACCACCTACAGCAGCGCGTTTGAAACGTGTTTGTGCTGCATTGAAGGCAGTGGTAAGACTTCAAAAAGTGTTGTCATCCAGTACATGTTTCAACAGAAAAAAAAATATTTGAAGCTTTCTGTACTCTGCTAGAAAAAGTTAATATGCTGGTATCTGACAGAAATGAATGGTGAGCAAACAATTTGGTGCACTAGTCCAGTAAGTGAGAGGAACGTCTGTATGAACTCATTTCAGAGGTTTACCTAAGCAAATGAGTGCCCCATCAAAGCACAATGTTTATTGGTAAAGCAAAAAAGAAGACCCTAGGAATTGTTCACACAGAAAGTATGGTGCACTGGAATGGGGCAGCGGGTCGCCTGGCGCCGAAAGTATGGCTCTTTTTGAGATGACAGCTAGAAGTGTCGGAGCACACTGTATTACGGGTGTCGCCACCTGTCACCGCCGCCTGACGTGAATCACTAGATGCCAGGATATAAGCCTCCGAGATTGATAGTTGTAGTTGCTGCGCTGGTTGTGTATGTGGAGGGGAAACTCGTTGATTGCTGTCGTCTGTTTTTCATAACGCGTCAGCAAATTTTAGCGTGTGCATGGAAGACTTGATATTTGCAAAAGCCTGATGCATAGAAGTTTTTGCAGCTCAACAGGAATTCAGGAGTTTACTCGCATAAACAATATTTAACACCCTGAGTAACTTGCGAAGAACTTATAGTTATGTTCCTGGACTTTAGCATCCCTTTGATGAGTAAAATGTATAAAGAAGTAAATCAGTATTCTTATGTGAGCATTTTTTTTTAACACTGAGACTACTTACTCTTCTGGCTCATGCAGGCACGTGGTGATCGTGGAACTTCCCCGATGATAATATTAACCTTCAGGACCTCCTCATTTGTTTTGTCGCATGACATCACATTAGTGTGATAGCTAGCCAGGGGTACATATAGATCAAATAATAGCGATGTGCTTTTTTATGCTTCTTGAAAGAAAAAAAGTAAGCCAGCAGACAATCTGGGTCCCTGTTCTGCAATAGGAATTGTGCGAGCTCAGACTATGTAGAAGCAGCATTGATTATCTCATGAACGCATCCATATGCCTTGGATCTACTTTAACCTTGCAGATACTTTTAATTTTTAATTTTCTGTCATGTGGTGTGACTTTTTTACTCAAGAACTGCACCAAGGTCCGCAATGCAAATTTAAATTATGCGCACTGGACATACCGTTCGATCGGGGTGCCCTACTGGCGGCATCATCACAAAAGCGACCACCGCTTCCCGTTGGTTTGCCGTGAAGATGGCACACTGCCCCATTCAAGTACACCATACAGAAAAAGACACACAACCAGAACAAAAAAATGTGTTTCATTTGCAGTTAACAGCAGGTTATTGATGTCGTAAGACACGACCTCTATGCTTATTGCTGAACGGTGAGAATGCACATGTATGACAAGTAGCATATCTAAACAGCAGACATAACTTTCCCACGAGTACTCGTGTGGCTTATTCCTTAATCACCGAGTGTTGCTGGCATTGGCACACACACCTTTTCCAAGTCTGCCCTGGAAAGCTGGAGGTCAGCATCAGCCTTAGCAAATGCCTCTTGAGCCTTTTCTGCTTCTCGGAACATCTTCTCATAGTATTTTTTACTCTGCAGAGAAAGTGAGAGAGAATGTAAGTGACAGAAACAGACTACAAAGCACGAAGATCCACATGAAAGAACGGCAAAAGTATTCGCTCCTGCGACAGAGGACGGGTGTGGATTCAACCCACATGGGTGAAATCTTTATGCTAATATTTGCGGAATTGCCATCAGCTTGCACAACGTCACACAGGCTCGCAAAACCTGTCTTATATCTCTGAACAGTCTCGTTGATAACCAGTTGCAGTGCATGCCAAGGCAAAAGGGGGCACCTAAGCAGCTAGTAGTACATGATCACTCTACAAACCCAAGTTCAACGTTACCCAACGATGACTGAAAGAAAGAAATTACAATTGTAGAGAGGAAGAAGATTATGTGCCGCAGTGAGCCACAGCTCGCGCTCGGCTCCTCTCGCTAAATGCGTATACTACTTACGCCAATAAACCCCGTTTCACAATCAATGTTAAAGCACAGACATAGGTCAGCAAACTCACTTATGAGTCTCATTAAGACTCGCTTAGACTCAAATCAAGCCTTAAGTCTGAGCAATTCCATGTGACCAATTTTATCGTGAGTAAGAGTCCAAGTGAGTCTAGTAGAGAAAAATTTAGGTAAATTTCAGTGCTGCGAGTTCAGTTGAAGAAAATTGAAGAAAAGACAGCCCAAGTGAGCCCTAAATACAAAAAATATTGTCACAGGTATGGAAATACCTCTCCAGTAGAGCCGCTGAAATGGCACCTAATGAAAGAAGACGACGGTGTTGTGGGGCTCAGTCTGGGTTGCCCTGTTGACTGGCATTTTGTGCGCCCTGTGCACTGTGATCCCGTTCTCGTACAGACTCATGACCCCTAAATAAATACTCCCTGTAACATCTCTTTTGGTGGATTGATTGATTGATATTTGGGGTTTAAGTCCCAAAACCACCATATGATTATGAGAGACGCCGTAGTGGAGGGCTCCAAAAATTTCGACCGCCTGGGGTTCTTTAACGTGCACCCAAATCTGAGCACACGGGCCCTACAACATTTCCGCCTCCATCGGAAATGGAACCGCCGCAGTTTTTTTGGTGGAGGTTGCGGGTCTTACAAGAACCTAGCTCTGGATCTCTGCACCGGCCACCACCTTTGTCCAGTCACCATGCCTGAAGACTGTCCACAGTATTCGACGCTATTGCAGTTCGTGCGAACTCCGTCCCCTGTGATCCCTCCTCACCTTCTAGACCCCGGCACCTTTTCCGGAACCGACAAAACTGACATTGACAATTGGCTCGGCTCGCCTTACACAAACGCATGAGCAAGCACTACAGAAGGGACAAGATGCTTATGCTTGCTAATATCTTTTTCTACCTGCGAGGTACGGCACGCGCGGGGTACGAGACCCACAACGAAAAACTGACCAATTCGGACGTGTGCAAATGGAACCTTTGGGATTTGTTCGGCCAATCGCTTGCTCGGCAAATGGCAGCCAGAGAGGAACTCACTTCGCGTGTTCAATCGTCCACTGAATCTTGCCTCGCCTACATTCAAGACTTGCTCGCCCTGTGCTGCAAGTCCGACAAAAACATGTCAGAGGCAGACAAGGTCAACAATGTCTTGAGTGGCATAGCTGACGACGTCTTCAACATCCTCACGTATAAGCACTGTGCTAAGATTGACTCCATCATCACCGAATGTCGGCGCTTTGAGCAAGCTAAAAGCACGTGGATTAGTCAGCGTTTCAACCACCTTCTGAACACCACTGTGACTTCCTCGTGCGAATATCCTGCGCCACCAGGCCCGAACACAAATTCTTCCAGCTCCTGTTCACCAGGAAATACAAGCTATGGCCCCTGCTACCTGTATGCACCCGCGCAAGACCACTTGGCAACCGTTTAACAAAGTCAAGCCGTCATTCGGCAGGAGTTTGCCAACATGGGCGTGCTACCCTCCCAATCCGCAAGCCTTGCGCCTCACCACATATGGACTCCCACCCACAACGCTGCCCCACTTGTTGCCGCATCCTCTTCGGCTTCCCGATTTCTCTCCCCCGCCCTCGATACTGCAATCTATCTGAGTAGTGCACCCATGACGATCGACCGATTTGGTTTGCTTGTTCTTGCGTTGGCCACATTTCCCGACATTGCTATAACAAATGGCCTTCCCAACCAAGGTTTTCAAGTGAAAGCCGTCAGGATCGCGGGAAAGTATTCTAGACCATACTCTCTCAATGACAACCTTCAGAACCTTCAACAACGCTGCTCATTTACTCAACCTGAACCCACCTACATAGACGTTGTCGCTCAGCGGAACTTCTCTAGCCGGTCGCCGTAACCTCATGGTCGCCAATTCCCTCAGCATGTTCTTGCTGCAAAACATCGTTCTGTATCACCATAATTTACATCCTGAGGGCACAGAACTTTTGCTTGTCATCCCACATCATTCTAAGTGCCCCAACTTCAGGGCACTTTGGCGTGACCCCATTCTTTGACCGTGTTCAACGACGGTTTTTCTGGAAAGGCCTGTATCGTTCCGTTCCCCGCTACATCGCGGCTTGCAACCTCTGCCAATGTTGGAAGAAACCTACAACTCCCCCTTCCGGTCGCCTCTAGCCTATCAAAGTCCCAGCTGTGCATTTCATCGAGTGAGATTGGACTTGCTTGGTCATTTTCGAACTGGGAAGAAATGGATTGCGGTAGCCATACATTATGGCCCTCGGTACGCAATTACCCAAGCGCTACCAACCAGTTGCGCGACCAATGTTGCCGATTTCCTGCTATACGACGTCATTTTTCAGCATGGTGCTCCTTCTCATCTACTCACAGATCGTGATCGCTGCTTCCTCTCTCGGGTGATTGATGATCTACTGCGTTCTTGTGCTACTCGTCACAACTTTACCACGTTTTTTCATCTTCAGATCAATGGTCTGACTGAACGCCTCAACCGCACATGACAGACATGTTTTATATGTACATTTCCAAAGACTGCACCGATTGGGACATTGCCCTCCTGTTCGTCACCTTTGCCTATAACTCATCGTGCCGTGAAACTGCCGGCTATTCACTCTTTTATCTTCTCTTTGGGTGTGATCCTTTGTTACTATTTGATGCCCTGCTTCCATTTGACCCAACATCGATGGCTCAAGATGCCATCACTCGAGCTCTCATCGCACCCATGATAGCCCACACTCAACTCTCACTGTCCCAGGCTACACAAAAGACCCCGTATGATAGTCGACACAGAGACGCTGAGTGCTCTCTCGTTCTACTGTGGCTCCCATCTCACCGTGTTGGCCTCAGCGAGAAGCTTCTATAACGATACATTGGACCCTACAGTAGTGCACCTGTCACCTATGAGATTTCTCGGACAACCAAATCATCGAACTCATCGATTACTACTCCCAGAACCGACATAACCTGTGTCTCTTGCCTGAAGGCCTACGATGGTGACACGCCCTCATAGCTGGCAGCGAGATGGTGCTTTACAAGCTAAGGTAAAGCTTAAGCAAAGCCGGGGTAAAGCCGGGTGGTGTTGTGGGGCTCAGTCTGGGTTGCCCTATTGACTGGCATTCTGTACACCCTGTGCACTGTGATCCCGCTCTCGTGCAGACTCACGACTTTGTACCGACTCATGACCCCCGTAACAATATTTTTTGGGTGAGTCTAGAGAGAGTCAACCAGAGTTGCAAAGTGGGCGTGTTGGTAGATCATTAGGGTACTTTTCTGTAGTGCCAACTTAACACAAGGACAGGTCAAAAATTACACGAAGGAGATAATATGCAGCGCTACTAGCAACGTTTGTTTTTCCAGCTCCCGGCCTCTCTATATACACCACAAACAGAGATCGTGTGGGGAGGTGATGACTGGAGCATGGAGGATGCCTATCTTGGAGCTTCGACACAGAACATAGAAGCTAGAAAAGTGACTGTCCATTTGGTGCTTTAAATGACACACCACGAAAAAATGCAATCACAGGATTTGAATTATCAGTACAAATATACTACTAAGTATAAATCATTACTAAAGGTACACAGGGATGATGAAGTGCTGTGGACAAAACTTGCCATTTAAGCAGTATTTACATTAAAGGAACACTAAAGTGAAACAATGACTTCGTTTAGACTGATAAACAGTACGGTGACAACTCTACTGCCATAAGTTTCAATGTCATAAGTTTGTTACCACAGAAAAACAAGAAATCAAGGTTCAAGTTTCATTTTTAAATTTCGTGCTGAAATCTTTGCGCGTGACCTAACAAATTTCAAAATGTATATTTTGTATGTTCGAGACATTGGCTCAATCAAATTTTCCGAAACTCTATATGCTAGGTCTATGGCACCCACAGATGACAATGTACTTCATTTTCATCGAGTAAAAGCTGTGTAGGACCCCGTATATCCCTTGAAAATTAACTACATCAGGATGTTTGGTGCTGAATCTCACGGTGGCCTCTCTACCCGCATTTTCTTTTCAAGACCTTTTTCACTTACCAAGAATCGTGTCTCGGTATGAGTGATGTTTTCAGGATTGTGAAATTGTACCTTATGAACAGGCATAAAATCAATTTGCTCTTTAGTGTCCCTTTAAAGTAGTGAACAAATTATCTGGTTTAAGTGGTTAACAAGGGACTAGATTGCATAGATTAACCTAAATACAACAAAAAGAAAACAAACAGGACACACACAGTGAAGCATCCATACACTGCTGGCTGTTATCATTAATAATGTGTACATGATAGGTACCATACTGACACAACATAAAAGATGTTGCCAAGATTGCTAGAGTCACGTTTGGCTTTGCTGTATGCAACGGCCTCCATCATGTTCACTAAACATGTAAGCAGAAAAAAGCTATCAAAGTTATGCTATTTAAGCAGGCCAATTAATGAAAATCTGAAGGAAAACCAGAACTTGTTCTTGGCCCAAGTGGCACAAGCTTTAAGAGAAGGCTGCCACTACAAGAGCAGATGCAGAAACAGACATAAGAAAGACAAAAGCAGCAAGCAAGTGGTATGACCAGAAATGTTCATCCAACGAGACAATATGGCTTTGCAATCGTACAGAAAGTTGGGCTAGTTGGTAAGGTAGCGTGTTTAGGTACAGCACAAACAAACTACAAAGACGTCCGTGTCCCTTCTGTTCTCTGTCTTCGTCATCTTCGGACTGTACCTAAACAGGCTTTATAATCATTATTAAGGCTTTATAATCATTATTAAACACTTTTTTTTTTTCAATTGTGGATGTCCATTTTCATCGAAATATTTGTCAAATCATGAAATATATTGTGACCATGGACCAAAGAAAACTTTTGAAGCTCTCTGCGTTGACCAGGAAGTGCAAAACTGAAATGAGTGCACCATCACTACACCTTTCAGAGTAAAAGGTGCATTTCCACCTCCCCCCCCCCCCCCCCCCCCCCCCCCCCAGTACCTCTCATTCATGCAAGGTTCTGCATGATTACGAATTCTGTCTTGGTACCTCCTCTCCCGTTCTGCTTGTTCTCTTACTCTTCGGAACCCTATACATTTGCCTTGTGAAAGTTGATAGGGCTTTATTTTTCTATGCCATTCATGTACCTGTGCTAGTTCTAAGTGTCTCCAATATATACCAACCAACAAAAACCAACATTCATCATTGCATGGCAAGCTCTGCAAAACAGGCAACCAAAACAAATAAATGCAAAATTTTACCTTGTCAAGAGATGTGACAGAATTCTGCAGAGCTGTCTGCAGTTTGGAACCCTCAGCCAAAAGCTACGAAGGAGAGAAAACACAGAATGAGTGTCTGGTCACCTCATGCCTTATTGTAAATACAAGGTATAATAAGTGAAGTTAAACAATTATGAAGGCTTGATCGTCACCTTACAGTACAAGCTCAAATGAAGACCTTGAAATCAGTTTATATCAACATAGGTCTTACAGTGAAATCAAAAACCATGGGCACAAGTGACATTAAACATTGCATTGAAGGGCAACTGAAACACTTTTTTAATCACGGTAGAAAAATATTTCCAACCCGTAGTTAATGATGCTATACACATCCCAACCAAGTATATTATTCTGCTGCATGCAACAAGTCACCTACCATCTAGCATAATACGTAGATCACTTTCTTTGCTGTAGCTTTCCAAATTTTCACTCGTTTTCCTCCAGGCCAAGATAAATGATTGCATTACATGAAGTGACAGCTCACAGGTAGCAGCCATTAGACAGACAAATGCACATATTTTCCAGGTTTTAACACAAAACTGTTAACATATATATGACATTGTCAATTGTACACTAACAGATGACAAATAAAAAAACTAGAAGAAAAACTTCCATTTCCCAAAACCGAACCCACTACTCCTCGCTCTACAGCGCCCCGTACTAAAAGACCCTGCCACAAAACGTACGTTCTTCAACATACACACCATTTATCATTGGCGGTATTCGGAGCTCGGAGTGTGTTCTTGTCATCACAAGCAAGATGTCGCAAAGGGCACACTTCATAGCCACATAGTTGCACTGGTTGTGATGCACGCGATTCCTACCTATACGATCTATACTTTACACTACAGGGCGTGGTTGCTCGTATACACTCAATTATTTCTTGATGAAGCCGGTTTTTATGTTTTGTGCTTTTACCGCAAAGTTTGCATTGAAGTTACAGAGTACCCAAAGGTCACTTCGCTTGCTGCAGTGGCTGCATTTGCAAGGGAGCGTGCGCTCAAGCATAAAAGATGTAAGAGCTATGACAGTCGTTAGTTTGCAGTCGTCCTATGAGCGTTTTTACTGCATCCTTTGTGCTTAAGCAGAGCGCTGAAAGTCTTGAACTCCTTACAGTACTTCACGGAACATTTGTACCAATAGAATGCATTGCTTTGCCTTTGTGGGGAAACTGACTTTTTTATGTGCTTGTTGATGCCACTTTGTCCAAGTATAGGTTAACAACTTCAGCCACAACAATGATTAAATCACAATCATGGTCATTAGTCATCAATATGGAGACATGGGTGTATCCATGTGAAACAGTGCTATGGCTGCCAAACGCCAACAGACCTTTTACAACCTCTCATATATCAACGCACAATAAATGCTGAGCTATCTCTGTGAAGGCAGGTTTCAGTTTCGTGTTATACCGATTCCTATGACGTAGGGATCAGCCATGCAGGGGTGCAACAGCCGAAATAGAATTCGGAGCAATTTTCAGAACAGCAAAAGTTTACTTTTGGAGTAAACATTTGGAGCAGGTTCCAGAAAAAAAAAACATCCATTTCTTATCACGAAAGACCAAATCTGGAGCAGTATGAAAAGCGAAGGCTTACATTTAGGAAAAATGAGTATGTACAAACCATTCAACATCACCTGAATTGTGCAGAGTAAACATGAGCACTGATATTTCAATAAAAGTAGTATTTTTAATCACCCCACTGAGCAAAAAATGATAAGTCCACATTAGCATTATCTGCATCTTTCAAATACTTTGACAGACTCAGTGAATTCAAATGTGGATAGGCCAAGTTGGCAACCTTGAAAATCAGGGGATTAGTGAAACTGAGGAGTAGGGGTGGGAGAAAAAAAAACAAAAGGCGCACATTTTTTTAAAGGTGCCAGCAATGTCATACACTGCTCCGTACACTTGCCCGTAACATTTTCAGAAGTCAGCATTCATACTAGTACTCACAGTTATCCGGCATGTACATGCATGAGTACATGAACAATATGAGATGCGTCGCGTGACTAGTGCTAAGAGCCGTTTCCAAATCATAATACACTTTTCTGCAGGACACTGGCATACTGTGGCCAAGGTAACTTAAGCAGCATTCTGCAGAGGTTGGAACAAGGTCATGAAATTTGCGAACACCACTATGCTCCCTCCCCCCTGCTCATTTTTTTCCCCACCATGGACTTAGGTTAAGGCCGCAACTTCTCAGCTCACTTCCAAGATGCATTCTACCAAATAAAGTAATAACGGCTTGCACCCGTCGATCCAGGGACAGCACCGGATATTTATCCCCGGGACGACGCAACTAACTCACCTTAAAGACAGAAAAATGTTTTATGTGCCTCAGCTATGGTGACCAACATGGTCGCCGGCAACAGTGACATTGGCAGCACGTCGACTCTGGTTGCGTGCGAAAAATGAGGTATGCGCTTCCAGCACTAACTGTAACATGCCAGAGCCACATTTGCCAACTAGGAAGTTCATAATTCCCGTGAAGCGTTGGTGGCTATGGCAACACATTTTTGTCTAGAAGTTGTGTCGTCCCGCTGATATGTATCCACTGCGGTCAGCGGCTTGATGGGGGTGCGGCTTTGTTACTATAGCTGGACGATAGCGTCTCGTAAGTGCCCTAACCTATGAGAATATCTGACATAGTGGTTTAGGGGTTGGGTCTGAACGCTTAGTTTGATTGATCACAGGTGACCGACGTGGCCTCTATTTCTCGCTGAAATTTAAACTTTAAGGCTTTAAACTTTAAGAAAACTTTAAGGCTGGTCGTGCATTTTGGCACAGCAAAGTGCAATTTCAGCTAATTTCATGGTTTTGGCATAGCTCGACGCAGAAATGGGGATTTGTATCAAATTGGTGCAACTGGTGCAGCTGTTACACCCCTGGCCATGGCTCTTTCGATGGAAACAAAAAAAAAAACAGCACGTAATGCTTTGCATCTATCCTTTCGCTACTAATTTTTTTTTCTCTCTGTAAAAAACCAGCGTGACGACAAAAAAAAGAGAAAACACGTAATAAGCAGAATAGAAGCTGCCTAATCTTACGAATCGAAAAAAAAAAAAAAATCAGCGAGGTAAATAGTGCATTTCTATTTTTTCCATAGTTGGGAGCTTGATGTCAAAAATTTTTTCAGAAAATATTCCTTGATAGGCATCACACTCATTCTAGTGTATTGCCCAGCTTTGAATAAAGTGACTTTCGGCGCCCCTTCCTCCAAGCTTTATTAACTTGGCCAGTAATGTGTGCAAAATGTGGGAGTAAAACAAAGTTACGTTCTCCTGCAAAATTTTTTTAAATGCCATGATCAGTAAGGCATGAACATGCAACACTGAAATGATTAGTGCAGAAATAATGAGTGAATGCTGCCACAGCTGCCGTACCCGCTTGCGTTCCTCTTTAAGCTCCTTGATGAGAGTGGCGACTTCCCTGTTTATGCTCGAGGAGAGGTTCTCTGCGATAAGTTCATGCTGACCAGCGATGTCGTTGATTTCATTCAAGACCAAACAGAATGCCTTCGATGACGTGTAACTGGAAAGAAGACAAGTGTTAACATGAAGGCAATATAGAAAGAAAGAAAGAATAGTGCAAAAATAAGGGGGGATGGGGCACGACACAAATATGCATGTGTAGCGGTTATAGATATAGTATGGCCACAATAGAAACCTGTTGGTAAGAGCAGTGAAGTGTTGATTCTCAAAGACGACCTGAAGGTAGCATGTTTCTCTCAGTAGCATCAGCATATCAATAATATTTTGATATAATAAATGATTCAAATTATGTCCCACATATTATGCAGCATAATAACATCAGACAGGTTTTCTTTAAAAATTTGACTTTAGGAAAATTAAACCAAATGTATTAAAGTTTGGCTCTCGAAACAGATGTTTGTTGTAAGCGAACTTTAGCAGCACTTGAGCTTTCTACTTATTCTCAATTATGTCCTTTTCTTGTATTCTATGTCATGAATAAGTTCCAGATACCTAGTACCCAATTTATTAAGCTTCAGTAAAATAGTGCTGTTGTAAATGAAACATCATAAAATACAAGCACTGAACTGAGAATAGCAGTGTACAAGAGTCAAATTATAGTTCACAAGCTTCAGGCCACTTTATGCCAGTCTCCAAAGATCCTTGTGTAGCTCATGCATGGCTTTTTAGTCAGGCAGAATATACAGGGTCTTTTCTCTCTCTTTATCTCCCCCCCCCCCCCCCCCCCCACAAAGTGCTTATTTTTTTAAAAATGCCAGGCCTGCATGGAATGCGCATCACAATCGCAGCGAAAGCTAGAAGAGTGGCCTTTCAGAGCCTTCTCTAAACACTCTTTGGGCAACTGCTGCAAGCACACTGTAGGGTACCCACTATACCATGAATAATCAGAATTTTTGTGTAGTAAGCCAGTATTCACTATGCTATCCTTCATCATTCTTCGGAGAAGCGTGGTATCCGCTACACACTTGTTAGGAATTTTGTGCCATTTTTTTATGTAGTGGCTCACGACGAAGAATTTTATCTGAAGTGGGTAAGTGCCACATATATTAGGTGATCAAGAACAAGTTTTTTAATGGGTTGGAGCAATTCGTGTTGTGCGATGCCTGGCTGTTCCTTTGATGTTCTAAAACGCTTTATTACTCATATTAACACAATTCCTTTCCAGACATCAAGCCTGCCTAAGGCCAGTTTAGAAAAGAGTTCTAAGCACTGGCGTGGCTCAGTGTTAGAATACTGAGCTGGGACGCAGCAGACCCGGGTTCAAATCCCATTGTGTCACTGATGTTTTTTTTATTTACCTTTTTTTCATTCAATACTGGTTACGGACACCGGCGGCAGTGACGGCGGACAACTAAGGCACTGTGCGTGACCAGTGCCCCAATCTCGTAACAGCTTTTGCCGTAAAACAATGCTATGACAGTAAGGTGTCTGTTGTATCCCTCGACAAACTCAGCATCGAGGCAGTAATACCTAGCCAGTGAAACAAAACCAGAAAGCACTCATCTTGTGCTTTCTTGTTCTATGTGATTGTCTTTCCACACAGCATCAACCATGTAGTGCTTACAAGATGGCCACTCACAACTGCACAATACTGGACTTGCAGTTGTCAGGATTAGAAGGAAACAAAATTAAGCATTGAATTTACAAGTAAGGTGCAGACATGACATCATGTAGGCAGAGTGACACTGCCACTACTTTTTGTGCAAGTAAGAAAGAAAAAGTATAAAGTGGACCCTAACGGCACAATTTCTCTCTGATTAGATGATTAACATACACAGTAAAGCATGCTAAAGTTACTAGGCAATATATTAAAATAGCAAACGGCACAAAAATGGAGTCAACCACCTGCTTTCTTTGCAAATATATTCAACTTGTCAACAGCATAATTGGTGATAACTGTTGCCACCAAACAGAAAATAAACATGAACAGGTTAGTTTAGTGCCAATTTCAAACATAACATTCATGAACAAGCATCGTTTCCAAACAGCACATGAAAACTATTTTAAACAAATTTCCCACAACAGAAAAGTACAGACCAAAATATGTACTCTTTTTAAGCACTTTCCTCTAAACAGAACATGTATCCAAAAAGTTTTTTTAGTCAGAGAACTTTTTAAGGCCCTCTCAAAGGGAGCTGGCAAAAGAGACCGGCACTTCGATGCAAAATACTTTGGCAACCTCGGTGTACCTGGCTCGCACTCTATTTCATCTCCCAGTCACAACTTTTGTGCACTGTAACAGTTATAATGAGGGTCAGACAGAACTAAAGATGAAAGAGGGGCTTGCCAAGCTCAGCTGAAGCTTGTCAGATTTAATTAGATATGTCTCGTAGTGAAGAAGATATGTCCTACTCAGAGAGACAGCGTGCGCAACTCGCGCAGCAAGAGGAGATTTGAGCATATCAAGGCTTGTACTGGCTTTGCTATTGTCGAGTAACCTGCTGCGAGTACTTCCACTGCTGCGATTAAGTGCTGCTCTAAAACACCCCACTTTATTGTTGTAGCTTTAGCCTGTCTGTAAACTAGCTAGAAATTCTTCCTAAATATATAAGAACAGGTGCTCAAGACAATTTAGGAGATGACATAGTGTGAAGAAAGAAATTAATGCGGTGGCCCTGGCCAAAACTGACAAGTTTATTGTGCAAGCAAGGCTCAAATGCACCCTGCCCTAGAATTCCTGGCCACATGCTAGGGTGCAAAGTACACCCAGCTTTTGTTGGCACAGTAAAAACTTACTTTATTCAATACTAAAATTGAAAGTGATGCCTAACAGCAAATGCAATTTAAGAGAATTTAATAATGGCCCAAGTAATTAAAAAAGAGCAGCTCCAATTTCTTAGAACAGTCAATGGATACACTCTTCCAACAGAGCAATGGCACAAGAAGTCCTGTAGAGTGATAGTGCACTGTTCCAGCAAGTTTCATGCGACATTTTGATGTCTCAAGTGGTGTTCACACAGACAGACCTCTCCCAATGATCAGGAAAGAAAAACCAGCCACCCTCTCCCCCACCCTTTTACAAGCAAATGCAAAGGAAGGATGCTTGATAATGGATTCTTGATAACAGACAATGATGCTTGATAATGGATGCTTGATAACAGACAGATAACAATGCTGAAGGATGCTTGATAACAGACAACACAGCACAGTCTTGAATGTGCCTTCTCTTGTCCATGTCCTTTGTCTGCGCTATCATATATTTTCATACTATCATATCAACAAGCCCAAATCGCCACCCTCATTGGCAGGATGCTTATTATAACCAGTTTTGTACATAAATGCTTTTCCATCCTCCATACCGTATGTCATAGGCATAACATCATCATCAAATGGTGCATGAAACTTGAAGTAGTGCCATAGTTTTCTACTTCACGAGTACTATAGCCATTAAATACTTTGTATTTCAACCATTCAAGGGCAACACTTGTCAATCATATCTAATGAATTTTGGCAAAGTAGCACAAACAAAATGTCAACTATGCAAAAACTTTTATGCCTCTCATCAACATCACACTTTACCTTTCAAGTATAGTACAGACAACATCAAGGCAGACAAGGTACTACTCGTTTGACAATTTCAAGGCAGACAAGGTACTACTCGTTTAACATCCTGGAAAGCTAAGAAGAAGAAAGAAAAACTTATATAGCTAGCATGGGACAGCCATTCGTAGTACTATCATGTCATTGACACTGTGATGAATTAAGCATCCACACGACCACCACACTTTACTTTTTGCAAGCACTGCATGCTTGCAGCTTTCATTGTTCAAGGGCAGCCCTACTTGAATGATAATGAATCGTTCAACCACTGTATATATAAAGAAAAAACTGTAAAATCACATCTTAAGACGAATATTTTTGAAACTGTCTTATAACACGCACCCTATCCAAGATCTTTGTCAATATAAAACGTGAAAAGCATGACAGTATGCCAATAATAGCAATGTCCATATTGTATAGCATAACAAATACTTTGCCAATCCTGGATAAAAATACTTATGAGCTGTGTAATAACAGCAACTACCTACACAATTGTCCAAACAGAACAAAATACTTGCCTTTACAGAACTGAAATATAACACGAGGGATCTAAGGTTAGGTGCAAGTATCACTACATAAAAAAAAAAATAAGTGATGCTGTATTATGCTTTCCCTAACAGATGCAATAAGTCAACACAGAAAATGCTTATTTTTAAGAAAATGCCAATTTTATGTTACTAAACTGTAAATACATCTATAGTAGGAAGACTTTAGTTCTACGTAATAGTTCCAAATGAAAATGGAGAATTTTAGTGACCTTGATGTTTTACACCGCTCGCATAAAGTGCTGTCTGCATGTTCTTGGAAATCATTAGGCACTAAGAGATTCCTACAGAAACTTATGAAATTCTTTTTAGGGCATGCTGTACTTTTGCATCCACTTGAGTTACAATTACCTGCCTGGATTTTAAATACTGGCTAGTTTACTACACATTACAAGAGAATGCCATGAATTGTTAAGAAAGAGCTGAGGCACTTTGTACTAGGAGACACATTTGTCTGGGCTTGGTGAGCCATCTTTGTATTTACGATGTCATCTGTCTATCAACGTCAGAAGAATTCTAGGCATTTTTTTTGTTGTTGTTGTTCATAATTAACTTTAATAAAGAAGCCTGAAAATTTTGAAACTGATGGAAGTGTAAAACAAACACCGTGAATATATGCTGAGGCTTTGTAATCACATTTTGTGACAGAGAACACTGAAATAGCAAATTATTGTAGTGAATTATACAAAATGTGATAAGTCGCACATGAAAAAAAAAAATCACATTCCACAATGCGTTGGCAAAAGTTATTCTTTTTCTTTATGTTCAGGACTTTATAAGTCCCATCTTCTTGATACTTTGTTCATGCTAATATGTAAATTCGGAATGCTTAAGCTTAGAAGAGAAAAAACATTATATGCATGGCCACAAAATGATAATATTTAAATTCAGAATGCTTAAGCTTAGAAGAAAAAAAACATTAATATATGCATGGCCACAGAAATCATTTTTATAACAGTTTACACTAATGAAGATGAATGTATTTATAATACTATAAAGGTCTATGTAAGCTGTTGGATCAAAAACGGTGACCACCTATATTCATGAAAGAAGATGTCATGACTAACTGCACTTCAGAACAGCAGTATTCTAACTGCACTTCAGAACAGCAGTATTCCAAGATGAAACACTACTTCGTTCAAGGTGAATGCAAAATTTTTCAAGCTGGTGAAGAGTATTCTGCATCGTTTCTGTGCCTACCTTTGTTACAACACTTGCCTGGAATGAATTCAACTTTAGATGGCACTTTACTTAAATTATTTTTTACTTTAAGATGCCAGTAACTTACCCATTGTCCTCATCATCTTTTTTCTTCGGCTGATAGCTCTTGGCAAGCTTCCTAAAAACATAATAAAACAAAGATACAAAGATTCAGTTGTCCATAAGCGCTTGTTCAATGTGCACTGGGTTTATGCTGTCCTTTGCCAAGGGGGGGGGGGGGGCAAGAAAAACTGTGTAAGTACGACCATGGTCATCCTCTTTATGCATTTACAACTGGCACTACACGAGCAACGGCAATGAACACGTCACACATATACTACGAGTAATTGGGGGGCAGGGGGGAATAAAATTTGCAGGGTCCTTACGCATTAGCTTGAGGTGACTTGAAGGCAAAAGTGGTTCAGTGTGGCTATATCATCCTCAAAGCTTGAGCGGTCACGTGACCAGTCGCACACTTAGGCTATAACTATGATGGTGATGAATTATAGCTTAGCCCTTTGTAATGGGTTGGCAGCATTAATCAGTTGTAATGAGTTGGCAGTGATTTAGACCACTGGCATAGCTCTGTGGTGGAACACCCGACAGCTGTGCAAAATACCTGGGTTCAATTCACCCTTGAACCCCAATTTTTGGACGATTTTCATTAAACTCACTGAGGTCACACGGGTCTTCATACCGTATGCTACACTTTTTTTAGGCCAATGAGTGAGGAGGCACTATGGGCTTTTGCCTCAATAAACATCAACGAAAGTTTTCAGAAATAACGAATGGTCCTCTATTAAAAGGACAAATTGTGCTGTGCATTTACTGCCACTTATTGTGTCTGTGTGCCCACAACAATGTTGAGGCGAGAAGCACAGAGTGCAATAGTCTTACACAAAAGGACCAAATGTATAGCAATGACCACTTAGCTTAAAACAGAAAGCTGCGGTTTGCAGGGAGGAAAATAATTCCTCAAATTAGGACATTCCTATTTCCAAAGTGAAATGTAGCAATGCAGACCTGCTTCTTGATATACAGTTAACTGGTTTTGCATCTCCCAGTACACAAATTGGTTTGCATTTTAGCATTCTTGTACATTTTTGCTGCAAAATATGGTCAGAGTTTTTCAACAGAATATTTCTCCAGATTTTGATAGCACAATTGTGTAGCATAGAAGAATATGATCCAGGAATACAGAAACACAATTTTTAAATATTCACTCCAGTTTTTTTTTACTGATTCCCTACCTATTTTTAATAAGGCAAACTAAAATATGATACATACCTTATTAGTTACACAAAAGTTATCAGAGTAATCACATATTTAAAGTAAAGAAAGTCGCCCTTACTTCAACAGGCACTGCTGTATTCTACAATGCAATGCTTGTGTTGTAGCTCACTGCCAAGTTATTTGCTGCTTTACTAAATCTTGTGATATGCCAGTCACACCACCATTTAAAGGTATTAAGCAAAAATATTTCAATAAAAAAAAAAGGATTTTCCTCTCAAACACACAATCATGGGTGATCGCTACTCCAGAAGCTGCCTTTTATTACGCGAAGTTTTTCGACCTCCTTGATGGCTCAAAAAGCCTATTCGCGACAGCAGTGGGCACTACTAATTATGTAACAGTGACACTGAGCAAATTCGTATTCTTCTGCCACCTCTACTCAACATAAAAAATTTTACGACTTGCAGAAGGTTTGGTAAATTCAGCAATACCCATGGACATCACACGGTGTCATAGACGCATGCAGAACAAAAGAAAGAAACTGCATGCACAGCATTGTGCCCGTAATTTTGAATATGGTATTGTTGAATGTATTTTAAAAAGATGTATTACAATAAGCATTTGCTGAATACAGGGCACACCAGCTATTGTGTAGCAAGATTTTTAAAAATGGAACAAAGTTGTATGAAGCTAATATCTTTAATTACTGAGTTTTAATTAAGTTGCTATAACAATGCTCGTAACTCAATAAGTACACCCTATTTACGAAAATGCCAAAAGCACATGTAGGCATGTCCACATGTGTTAGTTTTAACTACATGTGCTCATTTTTCCGGACTAATAAAGGAACATCGTAAAATATGAAGAATAACACATGACTGCACTCCCACTGGCAACAGATAACAGTGCCCTCAGATAAGCTAGCTACAAGCAACTGATGTTCCTGCTGACCGCTGGCCCACATTGTTCTGCACTTGGCAAGGGTACATGATGAGCAGCAACGATGTATGTTGCAACTTTGTAGAGATTCCATTTAATCATCCATATGTTGCAGTCGACTCCTCTCACTGATAATGCAGCTGGAGCCCTGTTCTGATTATGATTAGAATCTGTGGGAACAAGGTGACGTGGTTCTTCAGCTGAGGAATGGTAGACAGCAATGTTTTTTTTTTCTTTCAGCATTTCTCCTTGTAACTGGCTACCTCACACTAAAAGTTTTTGAGGGTGCTTCGTCCTGATGTGTGCTGTAGTCTAGTCATGTGTCCTTTTTCATATTTCGTGGACTTTCTTAATCAGCCAGAAAAAATGAGCACCCAAGTAGTACTTTTTTGAAACCAGCAGAGTTATGTGTCATTTGAACATACCTAGACATGCCTAATTTGTATTTATTTAGATAAATAAAATTGCGCAAGTATTCGTCAAGTTACAAATGCAATTATGACAAGTGAGTTAAAGCTCAGCCACAAAAAAACATAGTACTGGCCACTCGAGCGGACTGGGAACAAAATGTACTAAGTTTGCTTAGCGTAACTCCGTTCCTTTTTGTTTGAATCTTGCTGCATGATAGTTGAGATGCCCTGTACATTGAAATATACCAATTCATTTTGACTGGTTCTGTTTTAAATGCTTTAAGAAGCATGTTCGGCAGAAGGGAACGCTAAAAAGAAACTACGACTCCTGCATAACTGTTGCACAACTTTTCAATGAAATTATTTCAACTCAGTATAAAAGACCACCTTTGTAATAGTTGTAGTTTGTTTGTGCGAGATGGATATTAAAGCCTGTGGTGTCCATCCTAACCGATCAAAGTACTTCCTTGACATTCTTTGTTTTAATGAGAACAAATACAGCAGTAGTAATTTCAGTGTTTCTTTGATTCATACATGAACAACAGCTAATTGGGTGAGTTCGTACAGATGCTCATTAAGCCAGTACTTTATGACACCAGTAGAATGGTTTAGTCACGGAAGACTACCGTCCCTCAACGCTCCAAACATTTTGACGCATACTCCCACTGTTCTCATCTATTGCTAAGGCATGCTTTGTGAGAATTAGTATGCTCCTTCATGCCCTTAAGGTGAGAAGTTTACCACCTGTGTCATGATTGATTGATCCCCCAAATAGATTGCGCCGTGAACTGAGGAACAATCAAGCAACCTACAATGAATATGAAAAACTGTTCTTTGCCCATGGATACAAAAATGCTCATGCACTACAATGCATCTCAGCAAACAACGGCGAAGCTAACAAAGGAATCAATGAAATCAAGGTAAAATGATGTTCAGAACGCTTGATGATTGGGAAAGGACCGTCATAGCGAGGCTGAAGAGCACGGGGAGACGCATCGACACGAACAAAAACGTGTGAAGATGTCTGTAGGTTTATCGGCAGAAAAACGTCGTTCTTAGTGTGAGCTGAAGTTGGTGATGAGCGCAAGTTTTGCATGAAGATCCGCAGACGCTGGACGAAAGAAGATGGATCTGAAACACTCTGCGTGGTAACGGGGCTGACGAAATCAACAGGCAAACGGAGTGTGCAGCCATAAACCATCTCGGCTACAGAGCAGGCAAGTTCTGGCCGAAGTGTTGAACGCAGGCCGAGAAGCACGATGGGGAGGTGTGATACCAAATCTTCGGCGTGAGGCTGCGAAGCAAGTGCTACTTTTAGATGACGGTGGAGTCTCTCCACTAAGCTATTTGATGCTGGATGATACGCAGTTGTGCGAATACGCGCACCACCAAGTAGAGATGTCACAGAGGTGAAAAGCGCTGACTCAAACTGTCTGCCTCGATCAGTAGTCACCATTGATGATACACCGAAACGGCTAATCCAGGTAGCAAGAAAGGTACGAGCAACTGTTTCTGCTGTGATGTCAGGCATTGGAGCTGCTTCAGGCCACTTAGTGTACCTGTCAATACACGTAAGCAAATACCTATTTCCCCGACATGGAGGTAATGGCCCGACAATGTCCAAATGAATGGTGTCGAAACGTGCATCAGGGAGAGGGAATTTTCCCCGTGGAGGCTAGGTGTGCCGTTGCACCTTGATACGCTGACGTGCTCTGCAAGTGCAAACCCAGTCACGAATGTTAACGCGTATGCGCGGCCAGACATAGCGTTCAGTGACCAGATCTTGCGTAGCTCTTACGCCTGGATGGCAGATGGAGTGGAGGGTGTCAAAAACAGCACGACGAAGCTGTGAAGGAACATAGATACGAGTGCAGTTGTGTGAAACATCGCACCAAAGCGTAACGTCGGCGTCAGGGAAGTTGACTTGTTGCAGTCGGTGGGAAGTAGAGGATCGGAGTCGTGGAAGCTCATCGTCTAATGCCTGTGCCTCCGCGAGCGAGGACAATGAAAGGTCGGTGGTGTCTGTCGTGGAATTGATGGTCATATGACTGAGAGCGTCCGCTGCACTGTTAAAGCTGCCTTTTACATAACGTATGTCTGTGGTGAATTCGGCAATGAAAGCAAGGTGTCAAAGTTCTCTAGGAGTGGGCGTGGCACTGCAGGAACGTAAAGCCGAAACAAGGGGGCTTGTGGTCGGTAAGAATGGCAAATTGTTACCCTTCAAGGAAGTACCTGAAATGCTTCACCGCAAGGTAGGCCGCGAGGAGCTCCTGTCCGAAAGTACTATATCGGCGCTCAGTGTCGCGCAACTTGCGGGAAAAGAAGGAAATTGGAGCCCATGCACCATTGATCCATTGATGAAGAGCGGCCCCAACTGCTTCTGAAGAAGTGTCCACCATGAGGCTAGTGGGAGCAGTTGATGAAGGGTGGTGCAGGAGGGTGGCCTGGGCGAGCTTGGTCTTAACGGCGGCAAAAGCTTGATCCACGACCGTGTTCCAGGGAAGTGCGGCTGACTCGGCTTGCGAAGTCAAGAGTAGTGCTTCCAGAGGCTGCAGCAGTGTAGACCATGTAGGGATGAAGCGGCGATAAAAATTGACGAGTCCGAGAAAGCGTTTGTTTTGTGCCATTTTACCTACGTTGCCGCTATACACAAATGGCTACGTGCTGAGCGCGATCAACTCAATGCCCTTATTCGCAAGGTGGTCAAACGAGCCCTTGGCCTCCCTATCACCACTCCAACGTACAAACTCCTCGATCTTGGCATACATAACACGCTAGAAGAGATCGCCGAATCTCGGGAACGTGTGCAATTGACCCGACTCACTACCACCAAGGCGGGCCGCCATATTCTGCGCGAGCTCGGCTTCTTCTCCTCGAGGGCCAGGGACCCCCCTAGAGTTGACTCTAATTGCCCGTGAAATCCGCGACCTTATCACGATCGCTTCCATACCACGAAATGTACACCCCGAATACAACAGAGGCAGGCCCCTTGCGCGGGCGACCGCCATTCTCAAGCGCATAGACATGGAAGCGGACAACGTCTCGTTCGTGGGCGCCGCTGCCTATCGCAACAACCGAGCCTTTGCCGCGGTCGCGGTATCATCCGCGCAGCAGACTCTTAACTCTGCCACAATCCTCACCCGAAACCCCGAAGTAGCGGAACAAGTAGCTATAGCTATAGCTATGCTCCACAGCAAACGGGAATTCATCTACAGCGATTCCAGGCCGGCCATCAAAGCCTTCGAACGCGGAGTCATCTCCGACCAGCCGTTAAGTATCCTGCGCAATGCGGACCCGAGTGCCCTGAAGCACCACACTGTCATCTGGTTCCCCGCCCATCTCGGCCAGGTACCGGGTGCCCTATCCAACCTCAACGAGATCGCCCATGATGCAGCGTGCACATTTACCGACCGCACTGCCACAGGGCAACCTCATCTTGCTGGGTTAGATACCAATCGGGATGCACCAATTACGTACAATGAAATTACAAAGCACTTTTACCTGGAACGCCGCATTTTTCCACCCCCACATCCGAAACTTAACCGACCGCAGGCATTAACCCTACGCCTATTACAGACACACACGTACCCAAACCTTGCCACGCTTCACGTTTATTATCCCGATGCATACCCCAGTGACACATGCCCATCATGTGGACACACAGCAACACTCGCACACATGCTACGGGAGTGTAGAACAACTCCTCCCGACTCTACCTCAAGCAAGTGGGAGAGGTCCCTCAGGAGCTCACTTCTCGCCGACCAGCAATGGGCCGTCCAGCAGGCCTATGAAGCGGCCGCCAGTTACTCCCTGTCGGTCCCTACGTGGGAGACGCCCGCTACGCGCTAAGCGCGTCTTGCAGGACTGAAATAAAGTTTTTTCATTCCATTCCATTCCGAGAAAATGTCGTAGACTGCATATAGACATGGGAGGCGGGTACTCGAGGATAGCTTGAACCTTGTCAGGTAGAGGAGTGATGCCATGTTTAGTGATCTGATGTCCGAGGAATGCTATCTCCGAGACTCCAAACTGACACTTTTCTACATTGATGACAAGGTTGTAATCATGCAGTCGAGTGAAAAGCTGACGTAGATGTGCCTTGTGCGTTTCAGCGTCCTTGCTGGCAACAAGAAGATCGTCGATATAGGCGAAACAAAACGGTAAGCCTCTTGTGACTTCGTCTATAGAACACTGATATGTCTGAGCTGCGTTTCTCAAACCGAAAGGCATTCGTAAATACTCATAGAGCCCAAATGGGGTAATTATTGCAGTTTTTGGAATGTCAGAAGGCTCAACGAGGATCTGGTGATAAGCTTTCACAAGATCAATCTTCGAGTATACAGTTGGGCCGGTTAAAAAGGCAGTACAGTCCTGAATATTGGGTAACGGGTATCGATCTGGAACGGTGACTGCATTGAGAGCCCGATAATCACCACAGGGCCGCCAGTCATTGTTTTTCTTGGGAACCATGTGTAGCGCCGACGACCACGAGCTTGGTGACGGACGAATGATTTGCAACTGTAACATATGCTCAAACTCGTTGCGAGCAATTCGAAGTTTATCAGTGCCAAGTCGGCGAGGGCGGCAGTGTACCGGTGGGCCTGTGGTAACGATGCAGTGGGTCACAGCATGCTTGGGGGTCTTATCCATGGGAGACTGCATTGTAATCTCCGGAAACTCGTTGAGTAGAGCTGTATATGGCGACGTGGGCGGTTTCACGAAAGTGGGGTTTAGGGCCGTAGCGCGCGTGACAGAAAACCATTGACCGATAAGCCGGTATAGCTATCCACCAGGCGACAGCGGTTCATATCCACGAGCAGATGAAAATGCCTTAAGAAATCGGTGCCCAAGATTGCGTAGCGTACGTCTGCTATCCAAAATAACCACTGCAGTTTCCTCTTAAGACCGAGATCAAGGGTCAGAGACTTCTGTCCGTAAGTTGCAATGACCGAAAAATTGATCGCTTGTAAAGGAGTTGACTTCTCGCGAAGACGCCGGTCAGTTTTGGACACTGGAATTATGCTGACTTCTGCTCCAGTGTCCACCAGCAAGCGCAGACCTGTGGTTCTGTTGGTGATGTGGAAGAGGCGGCTTGATGCTTGGCCTTGATCGCCCGCCGCTGTTATTGACGATCGGCCGGAGCGTTTCCCATGCGCCATGAGCAAGGGGGCACACATCTGCAAGCTGCGGCACGAAAATGCCGGTGATAGTAGCATGTGTTCTGCGGTGAAAAGCACTGCTCGGGCTGGTGGAGGGGTCGTTGCGGAGCAGCCGACGTGAGAGATGGTCGATGTGGACGAGGCTGGTCATTTAAGTTGCGAATGCTCAGCAATTGCAGACGCAAGTTGGCGACTTCAGCTGCGAGATCTTTTACCATTTCTCGAAGGGAATCTGCTTCGGAAATTGGAGAGGTGTGGGCAGCGTTTGTGACTGCCGAAGCAACGTCCATCACGTCATCGGCCATTTCTGCCAGCTCCGACAGCGGCTTATCCTGAGCTGGGACAAGAGCCATTCGCATGGTAGGTGGAAGACGCCGTAGAAACAACTCGCGTAGTACGGATGTTTCCGAGCCGTCCGGCTGGTCCACAAGCAGGTGCTGCAGGTGACGTAGAAACTGTGTGGGACGACGGTCCCCGAGCTCTTCGTTGCACAGAAGTTGCTGAAAGCGTTGATGCTTAGGCGGAACGAATCGGTGAAGAAGAGCCTGTTTTACTGTCGTATATGGAGTGTCACCAGGCGGGCCCACGAGGATGTCGCGTGTTTCGGCCATTGCCTGTGGCGGCAACGCTTCAACGAGGAGCTCATGCTTGCGAACTTCTGACGTGATGTGATGAATGCGGAACTTGTTCTCGACTTGAATGAACCATAAGGAGGGATCGGCAAGCCACAGCTGTGGTAGCGTCATGGTAGTAGCACCTTCAACAACACCCGAAGAAGGTACATGGCCTAGTGCAGTGGCAGCGGTACCAGGGCTGAGGCTGTCGAGATGCCCACGCTGCTCCGTGGAAGGTTGCGTTCGTAGTCCGGGTCACCAATAAATATAGCACTCTGAAACGCCGTTCCGAAAACACAGCGCGATTTGTTAATGTGTCTCCGCCATTGTTCCAACTACTTCTTCCTTTTCTTCAGCAGACTACCCACTACTAGCTTATATCCCAAGTGTGTCGTGCCAGAAGAAGGAAAGTATGCCACACTCCCAAGGTTGGCAACGTGGCACTATATAAGCAAAAGACTTTTTGTATATTTTCAGTTATTCTGCAGTTCGCAGTTCTCTAACGAACTCATGATCACTTGATCCCCTCCTTTTGACTTCTCAGTTACTAACCATATAAATAAATCTTCGTCCTTTTTAAGAGCATCTCATCTGCCTTATTGGACGATAATCTCTCTGATAATGTCCCGTCTACTTTATCTGGTATATGTGAGCATTTAAACCTGAGAGTGCTAGTCAGCGTTCCTCGTAGGCATGACGGCACATGTGCTCATTGTTGAGAAAGGTGCCAACCGCCAATGAGCCTATAAATGTGCAGACACAGTATGACATTTGTACTTGTGATTTACCATGAAACTTGAGAGATAAAAAGGCAAGATGATGGCAGGAGAAATTAACTCGCCTGAGTCGTGCAGCATAGTCTGTCTCGATTGCTGAACGGTCTTTGATGAATTGACTAAAGTTCTCTAGAAACTGCAGGCCTTGATGAGTGTGCTGGGATATCTTGTCATATTGATCCTGAAACAACAAAGAAGCAGCAGACAGGACATAACCGATTAGAAGAGCAACTGATGTTCATAAAATGGCAATTATCACAAAAAGACATCATATTAAGTATCAACAAGAATATAGATAGAAGACAGAAGCTAATATGGGACTCCAGTTGTTGCCAAATGATAGAGCCTGGCTCTCTGAAACTTCACAGATTATCATATAATGAGAAGCTTGTGAGATCAAGACACCTACACTGCATCTCTGTAACGTGCCTTTAAAGAAGTACATAACTCATCTTAAAGCAATTTACGACCATTTGTAGCACACTTTGATATGGTGCAAAAATGTGCCAAACTGTGAGTGAAAAACAAACAAACAAAGCCGTTTCATTCTGTCTAGTTGTTCAGCAGTACAAAACAGAAACTTGTTGCAATAAAAGGAAAGAAAAGAAAAGAAAATTGGCAGAGTAAACAGATGGGCACCCACAACAATGACACTTGTACAGCATCAGAATCTTGTCTTTCATGTGCAATCATTACATTATTGAAAAATTTAGCATTAATGGTGAGAGTACAAAATTAAATGCCCTAATAAGTGCTGCACAATTAAAATGTTCACGCAGGAGAAAAACTACGAGCAAGCATCAGATAACTCACACAGGGAAACTTCGCAAGCGAACTCACTGTAAAACTAGTATAGGCTCCACTTTTTTTTCTGTTTTTTTACTCAGGAAGCCCTTTACTACCTGACCAAGAGATCGGTAGACTTAAGCGAGAGTACGCGCTCTGGGTCTTCTTTTTCTTCCTAGCAGGCTTCCATGAATACACACTTAAGTGAATGTACTTCTTTTTTTTATTATTGCACAAACTCCGACTTTTACATAGCAATATATATATATATATATATATATACATTTACACACATTTATCATATTTGTTGCACTGTGTTTGCACATTGCTGTCTCCCCCGTTGCCTGTCCATAATACTGTGCACTTAGCCAGCTCATCAAGTCGATCATGGTTGTATGTATAAAATTTTACTGGGGCATGATCACCCGTCGTAGCGCGTGGTCGACGCGACACGATCAGCTGAGAGAAAAAAAAAATAAGGGGGGAGGTGGGTAGCGCATCACCTCCTGCGACTCTATTCAGTTTTCCCCATCATCCCTAATGCTGAGACACGATATCTTAATCGCACAGCTGCGCACACAGCAAGAGAACGCGCCTCATTGATTGATATGTGGGGTTTAACGTCCCAAAACCACTATATGATTATGAGAGACGCCGTAGTGGAGGGCTCCGGAAATTTAGACCACCTGGGGTTCTTTAACGTGCACCCAAATCTGAGCACACGGGCCTACAACATTTCCGCCTCCATCGGAAATGCAGCCGCCGCAGCCGGGATTCGAACCCGCGCCCTGCGGGTCAGCAGCCGAGTACCTTAGCCACTAGGCCACCGCGGCGGGGAAGAGAACGCGCCTCGACTTCTGCTAGGCGCGGTTCATTCCGTTAATTAAAACAACCTCTTAATTGCACAGCAGCGCGCGCTCGACTTCTGCTAGGCGCGGTTCGTTCCGTTAATTAAAACGGCCAGCGTCGCTCGTTCGCGAAATGCACCGCGGGTGGCACCAAATTCTCACGGAGAAGCCACAACTACAGAGAAAAAATTTTGCAGTCAAATTTAGCAGCAATCTGGCAACACTGACCCCGCAAGTCTGGCAACCACTTCAGCTCACTTTAGCAACGCCAAAAGGAACCTTGCCGTCATCTGCATCCAGCGTAGGCCTCTACCGTCTAGTTCGTATGAACCAGCACATGCGAGGAACATCGGCTGAAAAAAATCTACGGTAGTTTCCGTCGCAACATAGACACCATATACGACGCCCGAAACATTGCGTAGTGCATACGGAGGAGTTACTCCTACGAAACATACGGAGGAGTAAAGTCTGGTGGTGTTGGCTGAGCACACTAACCACTGCGCCACGCCGACAGATGGCGTTATGGTTGTTAAATACAGTTTTCCCTGGGTTCTTTAACGTGCACCCAAATCTGAGCACACGGGCCTACAACATTTCCGCCTCCATCGGAAATGCAGCCGCCGCAGCCGGGATTCGAACCCGCGCCCTGCGGGTCAGCAGCCGAGTACCTTAGCCACTAGGCCACCGCGGCGGGGAAGAGAACGCGCCTCGACTTCTGCTAGGCGCGGTTCATTCCGTAATTAAAACAACCTCTTAATTGCACAGCAGCGCGCGCTCGACTTCTGCTAGGCGCGGTTCGTTCCGTTAATTAAAACGGCCAGCGTCGCTCGTTCGCGAAATGCACCGCGGGTGGCACCAAATTCTCACGGAGAAGCCACAACTACAGAGAAAAAATTTGCAGTCAAATTTAGCAGCAATCTGGCAACACTGACCCCGCAAGTCTGGCAACCACTTCAGCTCACTTTAGCAACGCCAAAAGGAACCTTGCCGTCATCTGCATCCAGCGTAGGCCTCTACCGTCTAGTTCGTATGAACCAGCACATGCGAGGAACATCGGCTGAAAAAATCTACGGTAGTTTCCGTCGCAACATAGACACCATATACGACGCCCGAAACATTGCGTAGTGCATACGGAGGAGTTACTCCTACGAAACATACGGAGGAGTAAAGTCTGGTGGTGTTGGCTGAGCACACTAACCACTGCGCCACGCCGACAGATGGCGTTATGGTTGTTAAATAAGTTTTCCCCATCATCCCTAATGCAGGACATCCCTTTCGCCAGTGTGGCTGCAGCAGGACTAGCAGCCACACTGGCGAAAGGCGTCGATGACATGCGCGCCACTTCTCCTAAGGTGCAGGTAGTGATATGCACGATACCGGAGGTACCGGTGCGTGATAGCAACCTGCAAAGAGCGGTGGTCAACGCAAACCAAGAGATATGGCGGATGAGTCGAGAGAAAGGCTTTGAGGTGGTGGAAATAAACAGAGAGGTGCATAGGTGGGGGGGTTTTCAACGAGACAGAATTCACTTCGATGGGCGGCTAGGTCATGAGGTGGGTTGGCGACTTGCAGGACGCGCAGTAGCTTTTTTGGGGGGCAAGCGAGCCCTTCGGGGTGCAGGATAGCTAGTAACGAGGAAAACAACCAGGGAGACTCTTCGACAGGTGGTATGGACAGATACGATTCCAAAGTGGCACCAATATCTAAGATACGTAGAGTCCGGGGCATAAATAGACGTAGCCACGAGCGCCGAGCCAATTCAGACATAGGGTATATTAACATGCAGGGTGGTAGGAACAGGCTGAAGTGGGAAGAGATAGAAGAACAGCTAAGGGAAGAGAGGCCGATGGTATACGGTTTTGTAGAAACACATCTCAGGGACATGGAACAACCTCCGAACAATCCGGACTACGCGTGGGAGTATTGTAATAGAACAGAAGGCAGCAGAAAGGGGGGTGGTATTGGGGCATTCATTCATAAAAGTACAGACTGGCAAAGGGTCAAGCAGGAGTGCAAGGAACATTTATGGCTAAAAGGGAAAGTGGCAGGTCAAATGACACTCCTTGGTTTCGTGTACTTGTGGACGGGAGCAAAGGCCAGAGAGGAAAACCAGGCAATGGTAGAGTGTATATCAAAGGACATTCAGGAGTTAGGAAGAGAGTGCGAGATAATTATACTAGGAGACATGAATGCGCACATAGAAGATATAGATGGGTATACCGACACGACAGGCAAAATGATCATGGATATGTGTGAAAGGCTTGATTTGATCATTTGCAACAGTACCGAGAAGTGTGAAGGGCAAATAACATGGGAGGTAGGAAGGCTTCAGTCGACGATAGATTATGCACTGATGTCACATAGGATGTATGATAAGCTCAGGGAAATGCACATAGATGAAGGTGGCTCCAGAAGTCTGGGTAGCGATCACAAACGTATCAAGCTAAGTTTTGGACGAGCAGTGAAAGTGGGAAGGAGACAAGATGAGCAACTACAGGAAAATTTTTATCCAGAAAGGCAAATTGAAATAGCCACTAAACAAATTGAGAAAGTAATCACGGAGGATAATAAGACAGTGTGGACATACACGAATCTAATTAGACTCTTTGAGATAGAGCTTGCTAAGACGCGTGACAAGTCACCCCGGAAAAGAAGACACAAACCCAAAAGTTGGTGGGATGAGGAAGTTAAGAGAGCCATAGCAAAACGTCAGGAAGCCTCTAGGGAACACACACATGCTAAGCAGCGGGGTGAACCGACAGATGATGTGGAAAGAAAATGGGCAACCTTTCTAAGCTGTAGAAGGGATGCATCCCTTCTGATCAATGAAAAGATTAGAAGGAAGGGAGCTCAGTGGCTGGCAGAAGTACATAAAAAAGATAGAAAGGCAGCTGCGAAATTTTGGAACCATCTAAACTCCCTAAGAAATGAGACGAGCCTAGAGCAGAAATTTATAACTACAGCCCAAGGTGCTAGGCTAGAAGGGGACGAAGCTATTGAATATATAAGAACAAGGGTGACAGAAAAATTTCAACAAAGAAGTACTTTATGCACCACAATAGACAAAGACGAATCAAGTGGTGCAATGGCTCCATTTTCACAACAAGAGTGGGAAAGGGCTGAGAAAAGGGTTCCTAGTAGTACATCAACAGGCCCAGATGGCATTCCAATTAGGCTGATAAAAACATTAGGTCCGAAGTCTAAGCAGGCTCTGAGAGAGGCAGTGAGTACAATAATAATCAATGGTGAAGTTCCCGATGGATGGAAACTTAGCAGGATGAGCATGATCTATAAAGGAAAGGGGGACAAAGCTGACATAAACAACTACCGTCCTATAACAGTGACATCAGTGGTCTACAGGCTGGCGATGCAGATTATAAAGGAAAGACTGCAGGCGTGGATAGAGGATGAGGGGGTGCTGGGGGAACTGCAGAATGGGTTTCGGAAACACAGGAGGTTGGAAGACAATCTGTTCTCACTGACGCAGTGCATCGAAATAGCAGAAAAAAAACACAGGCCCCTGTGGCTAGCATTTTTGGATATCAAG